TCGACGATATTTTTATCAAACTGATTAAAATATCGTCATGGCAGCTCACATTACCCTCCGGCTCCGGTAGGTATATAATGACATTTCTACAAATTTTAGGGAACATATTAAACACCTTAATCCGCTAACTCTATCGCACCTGATATACATTTAGCAATTTTTCCAAGAGCCGTTGTACATACATATACAAACAAATGAAACTCGAATGTTTGGCTAAACACACATAGTTATCTTCCTACTGTTTATTCAACGAAACACGGTTTTAATGCGAAAGTAAACGATTGTGTTCTTAAAGTGCCTATCATGAAATACTGTATTCATTGTGTTTAAAGAAGCAGAATTGTTTATTTTAGTTATTTCAGTTGCAATAAGTAGTTGTCGTGTCTTTCTCCTTGGCTTTCCCCAATAACCGCCTTATCGTTCAATATTTGCTAAGTACTTCTGAAAATCCGCGTAGTGAAAATCGCTATACATCATTCTATTTACGACATGGAGAGCAAAGGAGAAGAATCGCCTAATGAGGATTGATCAATCACCCTAGAAAATGCACATCGCATCGACACTCTCAGATACTAATTTATTCAGAACCGAATTCGAAACCAGATATTTCCACTTATTCCTCTACCTATCTAGTTTGATCTGATTATTAATTCAAAGGAGAAACACAATATTTTACAATGAAAGTACCTACATCTGAATTACCTGGTATCATAAATTCTAACTGTGTGAACACCTTTAGAATGTAATATAGTATCTAAAAAAGTAGACTAGCTAGAATTAATGCCTAGACTAAAGGTCTTTGCAAAATTAGCTTTACTGTAGTCGGATTATCTGCAACCTACGCTAGCCGCCTAACAGACCAATTCAATTAGCCATAACGCAAAAATACTGCAAAACGTCATAGAACCCGGTTTTTTTTAAATAAATTGCACGTGTATGAAAAAACCTCTGATTGCGGATTGTTTTTAATCCCTGGTAACATCGAAATGATGATTTTTTATCTGTCGACATTCAACGGCTTAACGATCAATTTATAACGATAGCAATCACTCTCGTCCCTTTGTGTCGATACTTTCAATACGTTTGATTTTATTTTTAGAGAGATTATCGGTACGCGTGCTCATCTCTCTAATATTCTCTTCATTAATATTCCAATAATCCTCCAGTATTAGAGTAAGGTTGCCCAAGCACTTAACAGAGACGACTATAAATATACAAAAAAAAAATACATAAATTGTCCCTGAGGTTAAGAAGGTGCGGGGCAGACACCTGATTAGTACCATTATGACCTTTTCCGATTAATATGTCCTTTCTACAATAATTAAGACACCACTGACATACGGTTAAGAGAAACATCGTGAGGTTTGAAATCGCCAATCAGCCTAGAGCAAGCATGGTGATTAATGCTCAAAACTTCTGTGTGGCAAAGTTCCGTATGAGAAGAGGCGTTTGATCAGCAGTGGGACCTTATAGACTTATGATGTGATGTGAGACTATTATAATATCAACAGAAGAACTTGAGAAATCTTAATTCCAATCAAATGAGGATATAAAAATTGTCTGTAAAGAGAATTTGTCGAAATGAATCAGCTTGTTGATCATGCAGATACAAATATTTGTTCAGTTGTTACGACATACAAGAAAACATGTCAGCTCACAAATACTGTAATATTCATAAGTGTTTAGATGTAATCTTTGTTATTTTCCACTTACAAATATTATCATTAGTGTATTAATAAAACGCTTGCTTTTATTGTCGCTACGCAGCTTCTGAATTTAAAAATATCTTTGTAATTTACAATGTGGTGATGTCAAACTTACTCCACTCTTGTTCTTTCTGTTTCTCGCTCCCTTTCCTCTTTGGACCTAGTTATGAACCAATAAAATTTAATTCTGAAAAATTTAGGGGTTTAAGTCTTGGACACGGGAAATAAATACCACTAGTAGTACGAAAAGAAATCATCTACTGACTGGCAAGCCTCACATATAAAAGTAACTACCTACAACAGTTGATTATTATAATTTTACAATAACAACAAGGTACAATTTATACGAATATTATAAAAAGGTAAAAATTGTAAGTTTGTATGTAGGAAGGTAATCTTTGGAACTGCTGATCGGATTGTCAAAATTCTTTCACTGATAGATAGCTACAACATTCCTGAGTGCTATAGGCTATAAAACATCACGCTACGATCAAATGGAGCCAAGCAGCGGGTGAAACCGCGCAAGAGTAGCTAGTATTTAATAAGAACGAATATAATAATATTACAAATTTAAACCCGTTATTTCTTAAAGCTGTAGATAAATGTATACAATCTGGATAGATACATATGTATGTGATACTTTTTGCTAGCCAGGTTTGTGCGTGCAGCCAGGGTTTCAGATGCAAGCGCCATAACGTACGGGCGGCCGGCGAGCTAGCAGGAGAAGGTACGATGTGGTTTTTAGTCATTAAGAGTCAGATACTCCCCTCGAGTGAGAAAGTAATTTTATGATTTTTCTCCATGAAAAAAGATATCAAAGTAACTACGAATTGTTTCGTCTTAGTCCTTTTATAAAGAAGATAAGATTTACATAATAAAATTTAAAAATTGGTCACGATAGCCGGCTCCTTTTATATCCTGAAAATCCGAGGCTCAGCTGCTAGCACGTAATTTCTAAAAGGGTCTCATTGAAGATTTATGTTATACTAACATTAATATTTATTTGATAACGCGATTGTTATCTAAGAACAGCTAATATTTGAACTAGGTTGACGTTTCAAATATACTTATCCAATTAATAGAAATAAATGTTTTGTAACATAACAATATGGATTTTGAAACCTTTTTTTTTTTTATTTTTAGAAAATCAGCAACACATTGTTTTAAAAATACCATACAAATGATATTATGCCTACGTGCTCCAAAACAAAATTGCTTAATTACAAAAAAAGGTGACTTAGTTTGTTTTTGTGTGATGGCAAACTGAACGAACGGACTGCCGGATAGTAAGCAATCAGTGCCGCCAATGGATACCCGCAATAGCGGAGGAGTTACGAGTGCGTTGCCGACTTCTTGGGTATTAGAGTCTTGGGGATTTTGGGGATTTAGGGATTAGGGAGGGGGTAGGAGAGGAGCAATATTAGATAACCAGTAACCTCACTCACATGGCAAAACAAAACGCTGTTACGCCGAATTTCTGTAAGGTTGTGATATCACTCCGGTCGACCCGACCCATTCGTTCCAAAGCATGGCTCTCCCACTCTTAGCATAGCTCCCCCATACTTACGAGTCAAACTCTCTCACGAATGCATTTATTTTATTTAGAATTTATTTATTATGTTGTGAATGGAGGAGATATAACTTCAAAGAGCTAATATCATAAAAGTATTAAAGTCATTATCATATACATAAAGTACACTGCAAAGAAAAAAATATAATTTGATATATATTTTATTAAGTTACTAAAAATCAAGATGATAAAGTAGCCGTAGTGAGGCAAATAATACTGTGTTTACATGCGTACCGACATTGCCTGGGTGTTTTTACTTTCAAACAACCCTTGTTAATATATAGCGTATATTTTAAGTTCTTAGCAAAACAACGGTGAACAACTGCATTCAATTACAAGCTACAGTTTTTCAGTATGCAAGTACACACATACAGAAAGACGCACTGAATAGTGAAAATGGTTGTTATTTCTTCTGATACTTCGTTAGAGACACTTCTTTCTCTTCTTAAAAATATCTATCTTTAATGTACCTACAGACGTTGCGATGTTACAATTTCATTAGACGTAAAGATACATCTTCATTTTATATAAGATGCACTATCATTATATTTACGATGTCCTGAAGATTGTAAAAAGGAATAAGAAGGTAGCCGATGGCATTCTCCAGCCTTTTATAGATCTACCACCAGCCGTTAAATTGTTCTCGTTTACCTGTGTAAATGGTGTATACATTAGAGACTATAATAATATGTTGACTATATAAACCACTAAATCAAACATAGGCAGACTCACAATCCTGAGCGAGAATCGTGTCACGTTCCGCGCGTATCCCAAAGAGCCATTGGAACACCACAGATTGGACCTCCTAGAACCGTAGCTGGGTTTTCAGATTCAAGCGCAATTATCTACCGGAGTCCTATTCAAAACAGGAGAAGGGACGAATTTGATTTTAGTCAGAGAGAGCCTGACATTCCTTATATTTCACACATGGCGTAGAAGAAACACATTAGATATTAGACAGTAAGAGACTAACATGCCCTAAATTCCAGATAGGGCAGAAAAAGTCATTGGAAGATGTTCCAACCACAAATAAAGAATACTGCGCTACAATTTGAAATTCAGTTTGCTTTGTTTAACATTGAGAAACATGATAACAATAACATTACTAATGACTAGAAACCTCAGTAGGTAAATTGATTTGGTTCTGTCCCCATTTAGTCAGTTCAATGTGTTTAGAACATCAAACATTTTGACAGAAATGGAATAATTATTATGTTTAATTGAAAGAAGCTCTGTGTATTTAAAGCTGACGTTACATATTTCATAAGAGAGAGACAGAGAGAAGCCCTATATTACATATACTCATTTTTACAAGCTTTTAATTAACTTGCTATTATTGTATGTGACGTGGAATGTTGCAGCTAAATTTTGAACCTTATAACTTCAAACAATTAAGTTTAAATTTTAGACGTTCACTGACTAGGTACCTACTACTTTAAGCGAGATTCCCTCTTAACTTTGGACCAGGAGAAGAAACGGGGTGGTTTTTAATCAGTAACAATCTAATACTGAGAACTCATTTGATGATTTTCCCCCGCAAAAAACCCTACAACAGTGCAAACTAATCAAATACAGGGTTTCAGACGGCAAAGTTATTTGTCACATTTTATATAGGCTCCTGTTATTGTTTAACGTGTACTGACAACATGTTATTGATTAAACACTTCTTATCAGCATGTGGCACCCCACACTTTCCATGTGGGAAAACCTCAGTGTGTATAATGCCGTCTAAGTAGTATCTTGTAATCCTAATGTCAAACAATGCGTGTATATAAACCGCGTCTTGTTTTCAAAAACATTATAAACGAAGTGTAACTATCAGTATTACGAACTCGAATATTATAACGAATATTTCTAAAATGTCTTCGAAAATCGTTCTATTTGTTTGTTTTGTGGTGAGTAGTCACAGAAATACTATACGAAACCTAAGAACTTTTCATAAAATGGCTTCTATCTTTAGGCTCTAAATTGGGTCAACGATAAGTCATAACTCTTACAACTTTTACATTGCGTTTTGAAAACAGAACAAACTTTGTTTCTTTGTAATTAAATATGGAATGTAGCTAATACAAAAATCAAGCCAGTTATGTTTTTATTACATACAATAGAGGCTAAATACAGGGAAGCCTGTTACTGTATTATTCATTAGAGTTTTAACACCAAAACATTTAAATTTCTCACAGATCGCCGTAGTGGCAGCAGTTCCTGCACAAACTGGAGGCGGTGCCGGACCTTGGGCTATTGCTGGCGGTTGGGGTGGAGCTGGTGCTGGAGCTGGTGGTTGGGGAGCAGGTTGGGGTAACGGAGGCGCCAATCCTTGGATTCCACCATGGGTAGCCAATGCTCCCTGGTATCCGCAATGGGTTCCTTGCACCACTGTTGGCAGCTCCTGCCAGGATTGTACAACTAGGTTGGTGTGCACTAAGGTTGGAGGCCTACAGCGTGCTTGCACTGACCCCGCCCTCCCTTACTGCAACCTTGGCGAGTGCTCCGCTACCCCTTCTGCTGAATGTGGAGTACCAGCTGAAAACGCCAGTGCTGATGCCGCCGCCCCTTCTCCCAGTGAAACCGCAGCCTAAACGAACTCATTGTATTCAAATTCCCCTTTAATAGAACTTATAGTGTTCCAATTTTAAATACTCTATTTGACAATTAATTATGACTGTAAATTATATATTGTTTTGTTTTAAAAATGTTTTAATATATATTGTTTCAAATATTGGCACCTAATAACAACTTTTCTTTTGTTTAATGCAATTTTGTGTATTGTAATCAAAATTGTTTTCAAAAATACATTAGTAATTGTTTTAACTTTATGTATTTTTATTTTATAATCCTTAGTTATTAAATTGTTTAAATAAATTATTATTTTAATAAAGTTTTATATTTTTAATTGGAACTATGAATTTTCATTTATCTAAAAGTAACTTAAATCCATGTTTTTGTTTTAAAACTCACTATGATAAATGACTCACTATGTACTTGGCTCTTATTGGTTATTATAATAGTTTATGGCTTTCCACGATAAATAGACTACCTAACGCACCAGTAATTTCTGTGATTAACACAAACTAACACATTTTTACACAAAACATATTATTAATTAAATGTAAAATATATTGCCGCATACGGTCTTAGTCATACAGCATACTAATCTACGTATAATAATCTACACCGTTGTAATTGGTCATCTGCTATATTGTTTAAAGAAAAGTACACTTTTTATTTGTTTTTTATTTTACTACAAACACTACACAAAGTTACTTTAATGTGAACTATATTGCAAGTGATTCCAACCTTCCTTCTTCTAATACAAAAACATAGTAAGCTTTATGGACAGCTACACATTTTTTGCGTAGGCAAAACCCAGTCTTCGGCAATGAACGATTCCTAAGGAATGATAAGTGAGCCATTTTTGATAAAGATTTCAAAGTATCACAAATTTAATTTCTGTGTGCAATCCATGTGACATTTTGAGAATGATTTTTTTAACTTACAAAGTGAGCCCAATCTTTTTTTATAGTACCAACTTTTTATTGTATACATTCCTGTTGGAAAATGATCGAAATTCTGATTACAGTACAGGCCCGCAATAGCTTTTAATATCCACACTTTTACTTTGGAAGAGCATTGCTATATTATAATGGGATAGAGCGGTAAACTCAAAGTGTGGGAGAGCCCGGCTTCGGTATGAATGAGTCGGGTTGACCGGAGTGATACCACGGCCTCACAAAAAATGAAAACCAGCGCCTTTAGGTCTGGCGAGCGCGGTGGCCACAATATTGAGCCTAAGCGCCCGATCCACCTATTTGGATACGCCGTATTCAAGTGCTCTCGTACTGTAAGCGCATAGTGAGCGGGACAGCCATCGTTTTGCAGCCACATGTCTTCTTGGACTTCAGGAGCGACATTTTCCAAAAGCGACGGCAAATCGTTTCATAAAAAACTCAAATACCTCTCCGCATTAAAATTTTCTGGCAGCTCAGCACCGCGCTCGCCAGACCTAAAGCCCCTGGATTTCTTTTATTGGGGTTGCCTAAAGGAAAAAGTTTACAAAGAACAAATGACTAGTATTGAGCAATTGAGGACTAGTATCCAAAGAGCAGCTAGAGAAATCAGCGCGAGCGGGTATTCTAGAAAGATTAAGCGATCATTTATTCGACGTTGCAGAGCGTGTAACGCTGCAAATGGGGGGGGGGGGGGGGGCATTTTGAAAATTTTGTGTAATTTTAATATTGTTTAACCATGTTAAAGATTTTAATAAATGATGACTTGTATGAATTGTTTTATTTTGCGTTGGCCAAATAGGTTAGGTGTATTATATCTTTTTTCAACAATAGTGACAAAACATGTTATTGGCATTGTAGTGTAGTCATTTTTTTAATAAAAATCGTAACGTAACTAAAACTTAGAAAGTATTTGAATGAAAATCTTTCTTTCTTAGATTAAAATTGAATATCTTTCTGATAAACAATAGTACCTGCTATTATGATACCTTTTTGGAATCGGTATTTAGTAGGCATATTTAAGAACTCATGGGCATTGAGAGTATATTACATTTTTAGGGTTCCGTAGCCAAAATGGCAAAAACGGAACCCTTATAGTTTCGTCATGTCCGTCTGTCCGTCTGTCCGTCTGTCCGTCTGTCCGTCTGTCACAGCCGATTTACTCGGAAACTATAAGTACTACAGTGATGAAATTTGATGGGAATATGTGTTGTATGAACCGCTACAAAATTATGACACTAAATAGTAAAAAAAAGAATTGGGGGTGGGGCCCCCCATACATGTAACTGAGGGATGAAAATTTTTTTTTCGATGTACATACCCGTGTGGGGTATCAATGGAAAGGTCTTTTAAAATGATATAAAGTTTTCTAAAAAACATTTTTCTTAAAGTGAACGGTTTTTGAGATATCAGCTCTCAAAGTCGTAAAAAGTATGTCCCCCCCCCTCTATTTTTATAACTACGGGGTATAAAATTCTAAAAAAAATAGAGGTGATGCATGCTAATTAACTCTTTCAACGATTTTTGGGTTGATCAAAGTATCTCTTATAGTTTTTGAGATAGGTTGATTTAACTGTAATTTTGGTTAAGTTATTGTGCTTACACTGAAAACGATGCTACGGAACCCTTTGTGCGCGAGCCCGACTCGCACTTGGCCGGTTTTTTTTACAGAAATCGCTCTCGAATTTGCAGATAATGTAAAAGAAATGCATTAAAAATAGAGAAGAATTGCTTTTTCTTCAAATCCTCGAAATGTACTTAAAAAAAAAAAATTATATCTCCGGAACCCTTGGGTAAAAATGGTTAAAATTGTATTAGGTTATAGTAAATTATCTGGTAAATCGGATCCTTAACGGTGGGCCACAATTTACGTCACACCCTGTATATCAGATAAAGCAACCCAGGAAGCCATGAATGACATGATTGTCGTGTGTTTGTCCTGACGGGCGGGCGACGTGAAGTTCACACTTCCAGATTTCTATTTCAAACAAATATCAAAACTACTGAACAAAACATTAGATACCATTTTTATAATATTTTTGGAATCAAGAATCGATAGCTAAGTTACCTTTTTGCAAAATTTTACACATCCAATACCACATCTTTTATAACTACGAATATATACATATTATATTATTATGTAGCTATATCTTAACCACCTTTGGGTTTCCCGCAATTAGAAACGTCAGACTATTTTCCCTTATTATCTAAAGGACTTATCGTAAGAATCAACTGTCAAGATATGTAAATTAGATCAATATGAGCGACAATACGTCTGACTATTTGCTATTCATCATACCAATCGAAATTACTACAACTTCATAATCACGGGTAGGTGACGAATAGATGTATTTTAGAGTATTATTACTCAAAAATGTCCCCCAACCTTATCGACTGGCCACTTGAAACTATTGTTTAATAAAACCTTTTGATAAACCGATAACTGAGATATATAAAAAGGCATGTCATTGATTTTATTTAAACAAATATCTCAAGATGGCTTCTGTCCGTAACGTTCTAGTTTTGGCACTGCTGGTAAGTAAACCGAGACTAATACTTCAACGCTGTAGATGTTGTTTATTTGAACGCACTAATCTCCAGAAGTACTAGTTCAAATTGAACAATTATGTATTATTTATTATGTTTTCGGCTTACTCACGTAATAATTTGACGAGATACTCGACTAGTTTCAAATCATGCTAGAGGCCCATATTCATGAGCAGCATTCCGCGACACGCGACTCGGCGACTGTCGCGCTGCTACTGCAGTAGCACTAACAGTAACAGTAGTTGCCGTAACAGTATACGTGTAACAGTAAAACATAATAAATAATTTAGAATGTCTCACGAAAGTTATAATAAAAAAATATTTTTGTATTTGTTAGTTCGTGTATATGAAGGATATTGGTTATAAAATATCACGCTACGGTCTGCAGGGGCTCAACAGCGGGTGAAACCGTAACCGTAGTTAGTCATTCATTCAAATTGAAACGAAAATTGAATATTTACCAAGTAATAAAAACCTTTTAACGTATGCTGTACGTGAATCTTGTCCAACATTGTTTTGTGATGTCAATATTAAAACGTACTCCATATTTCATTACATGGAGAAGTTGTACTTATCAGTTTAACTTCAGTTGCGTTCTAAAACAATAATACTTAAATTTTCATTTACAGTGCATCGTAGCTAGCGTCTACAGCCAGGCCACTGACGAAGAACTGCCGATCAATGCTGATGAGCTGGAAGAAACCATTGACGAGGCAGACATCACAAAAAGTGAACGCACTTGGGTTGAATGTGACCCATCAGTGACTCCAAGAAAGTCCTGTTACGACTGTAACACTAGAATGATCTGTAAGAACATTGGTGGACTACTCCTTGACTGCCCCAAGAAGTTTGTACCCTATTGTAATGATGGTAACTGCTCCAGTGAACCAAGTGCGGAATGTGCCTAATAAATGTTATTTTCCTTTCAATAAATGATGCATTGTTACAACAAGTGATTTAATTGTACTACATAACGTCTACTTTCCTCCGAGTGTAAGACCCAAGTGTTAGGTAAAGCAATTTTTCAACTGTTGTTTTATTGATGTCGTAAAATAAAAACCAAGGATGTAACAATGACACATTGAATAGAATTAATTCTCAACCGATTGTTTTCTTTTTTTTTTTTGGTATCCTCACCACGCTTTCTATACTCGTCGTATAAAAAATTTTTGAGTACTTTCGATTTTTTTAAGATGAAACATATACTTATGAAAGTATTTTTTATTACACGACTTACGTACTTTGAAGAAGACTGATAAGCCAAGCAAGGGATGAAAGCTATACATATAAGATCTAAAACCTACTTTCATCAGTAATATAATGAATCCCTCGTAATAGGGACTAAAATTAATTACTTAGTTTTCGAAAAACGGAACATTCCGAATGACAGTTTCGCGTGAGCTAGGCATCCGAGGACAACCGAGAATCTCGTCTAAATTTTCATCATAGTTTACGCAACCACATCTATGTCCCCCTACGTCCCGAAGAAATCCACACAAACCAATCGAATTGTCGATAAAATCTATAACAACCACTTCAACCTGTATATTAATGTTCATATTCTTATCATGACGAAAAAAATCAACGTTGTATGAGAATAATATATATATATTCTAAAGTAAGTTGGTAACGATAATGATTTAGAGCAGTGAGATTGGATTTCCAAATTTCTCCCGCACGATATCTTGAGATAATCTAATCTATTCTCAAACAAATATGTTTGTTAAATCATTTTATCTATAGAATGTTTTTATACAAAGCTGACTAGAGTAGGTTGCAATGTTTAAAATTTGTTATATAAAAATCGGAGTGCAAACGCATTTTGTTGCTATCAATTACTGCAATGTACATACTTTAATACTAAAACTATTTGGTCAAGCTTAAAAATGCAAAAGACTCCATAGACCGTTTTCTCGTCTAGGGTAGAGTCGGCATAAGAATGTGCGGACGATCACTGATGCGATGGTCTGTTCAAGTAACAAAGACAACTTTAAGCATGCCTTTACATGAGTGCATAAAAATATTGGCAAGTCGGAACATTAATGGCGTAACGTCTAACTAATTCGCAACGAATTCGAACTTTGACAACAACCAAAAAGGAACAGGACTTTTGCATAACACATCACCGCTTCATAAATTCCTGCAGCTGGAGTAACTTCAAACAGATTGATGAACAGAAGGCAGATTGGCGATTTCAAACTAAGAAGAAAAATAAGATTTATAATCTTATTTTTCTTCGCCAATTGTCAGTAGGGTGTTAATAATAAGTACACTTAATCCGCAAGGCAGCTTGTGGCGAGCTGTTGGGCAGTGGTGGACCCACGGACCTGACTCCCCGGAGGTATCTCTGTCCTCGTGACTAGCTGGAATGAACACTGATGAGAACCAAGCCCTCCTACCTCATTCTTGCCTTAATTGGCTGGCTTGTGTGGAGATTCGCAAGAGTAGGAGTTAAAGGAGACTCGGGGGAAGGATGTATCTCGGTAAGGTGGGGGTCTTAACCGTACTTCCAGGATTGCTCGGATAGTCGTGGGATGCCTTTCCTTTCCCAATCAGCTCAACGTATGTTACCGCCTTGTCGCTAAAAGCTAGCGGCCTTTTCCGGGGGCCCATTAATTAAGTTTGCCAGTCACCGACTGTCTGTTTATCCGTACATATCAATATTGGCCAGGGGCAGGGGCCATAGCATTTCCGTAGTTATCATATCCACCAGTCCATAGCAACCCAACATTTCACAATAGTCCTGCATCAACTGGGGATTGTCCTTACGGCACTTTCATAGTACATACAGGGATAGTTGCCGGGATGTCCCATTAGTATATTAAAGTTGTTCAAAGGGCCTCTGCGAGTTGGCTTCGGCTCCTCGTACGGCTTCCAAAAGTCCGGGATCCTGTGGTCCCGTGAAAGGAATACCTTGTAGACTTAGAAAATACACATATAATTCGAAAAAGTCACATTTCTGCATCAAATGCCTGAAGGACGAATGAGAAGCGGACCCCTTAACCTCCGTGAAACCACGTCATTTTTGTTTTTGGTGTTTGTTTTGTTGAGTCACATCAGGCACAAATATTTACGAGACTTCTCAACTCGTCAATAATGCTACTATAATGTCGTTGCTAATACGTTTTCCGATGTGAATTTAACCGCTGACAACCACAACTATGATTCCTTACCTCGTATTTATTGAAATACCATGTTTGATGAATACTTCTTTTTCAAAGAATAATTTTCCTCTAACTAATCCTACTAAGCATTATGTTTTCTCTAACAAACGCAACTAAACTAACATAAAGTATTGTGTTTCTATAGGTATAAGCACTGCACACATAGAAATACTTGAAAACATCAACAGCGTATGTTTATTGATACAACACTAGGAAAACCCTGCGGATCGTCGGAGATTTCCCTATTTGTTCTTAGAAAGAGCTCGTAGTAAACATTAGATAAATTGATTAGTATAAAAGCTAAGGTTTGCACCAAACCCAGATAGGAAGTATTCAACTGACAATGGCGCACCTTCAGAACGTATTGATTTACTTTGCCGTGGTATGTTCTTCAATAATTACAGTTTTTTTTTTTCAAAACTATTTTACAAATTCGCAAATTTCTGAGAATTTAATGCTCGTTTCTCGAAATTAAAGAGTATATCGTTATAGATTTGCAATTTGTTTAGTCCCGAAAGTCGTTGTCATGGATTAAAAAATTTTAGTTTTCTAGAATCCATGACAAAATTTACCTTTGATTTCTGGAATCTAAGCAAAAATTTTCTTCGTTACTTAATTTTTTAGGTATATCCGTGCAAATGCTCTTTTCTCTGACTAATCATGTTCAGGGTTTAAGAACATTAAAGAATTCATAAATAATATAAAATTGTCTTTTCAGTGTGTCCTAGCCGTGACTCTGGCTCAAACAGCTCAAGGAGGACCACATACTTCCCAAGGAGGCCCTCATCAGAACCAGGGCCGATCCCGAAGACAAGCAGAAGCCGGTACCTTCGACATCACTCAATCACTAGCTAACTGGACCACTTGTGACTACCTCGTCGACCCGAGGATATCGTGCCATGATTGCCACACCAGATTGATCTGCAAGCCAATCGGAGGCCTTCTGAAAAACTGTGGTGACCCTAGCAGACCTCACTGCAACAATGGAATCTGTTCTGCAGTACCAAGCGTCCAATGCGCCTAAACATTCGACCTACTAAATACATATGGAAATTTGTAAACCCTCGATTTTCCGTTGTTAAAATCTAGATTTGCCAAAAAAAATGTGATCCATGTGTTTGTTTTTCGCGTTTTTTTTTTCTTTTCGGTTCAACAATAAAATTTTGAGTTACTCTAACTGTCGTTGTTATTCACCTAAAACTTAAACTACTCATGCATAAATATAAAACAATTAATAAGTGTTAGTTATTAATTGTAGGTAAATCAATTCCTTGCTGCCTAAATAAATTCCTGACAAAAAGTCTATAATTCTATACATAGCTATCTATACATTTATACACCCAAACATCTATATATTAATATTTATAAACAAATAAAATCGAGGTGTCTATAAAACAGAAGTAAACTATTTTTACTACGTGCTTATAGGTATAGGTATAGGATACAAACACATAAAAAAACACTTGATACAATTTTGTCTACCAGTCTGTCAGTCTGTATATACATGTGTTCCAATATGTCTTTGGAATTGCTGGATCGATTTCGACTGAACTTTTATTGGTAGGTAACAAAGATAGTGATGTTATAAGGATTAACTTAGGCTATTTTCATTTTAGACCAGTTCTTTAATTTTTGTATCGAAAGTAAATAGCGATAATCAAAAAAAAATTACGCCGATAAAGTTGTTGGTTGCTAAATAACAACACTGGCCAATATTATTAAAGATAGATAATACAATAGTATAAAAATCATGAAGCACAAAAAAAGAAACCGTCGATTAATTAGTTGAAGTGCCTGTTATATCTCTTTGAAATGTAATAATACTAATTAGACACGTACGACCTAACTAGTAGATACCTACTAAAGTCTAATGAAATAAGTACTAGCTCAGTTACACAGAATTAATTAACTTTATGTTACAGGGTGGCTAAAAAAACACATTATGTGATGTAATGAAAATTCCTAGCCGGGGTACATTGCGGGGTCCAATATCTTTCAACCCATGTCAGACGGCGATGCTCATTATGTACTCGTACCACAATCGAAAAGCTGACACCGAGAAAGATTTTCAATTGCTATTAACATCGTAAGCGGGTAAACCATACGGGTATTACATATATCTTTATATGAACAAATATTCTCATACTGTTAAAATCCACCAAATTTACAAAAAAACTTATTTTCTACTCTCAGGCATAACATAAAATAATAGGGCAAAGAAAGGTTCTTAGTTATATAGATTTGGAATCTTTCTTTTTGGAATCTTTGATTTTTGATTTGATTGAAAGATTCCAAAAAGAAAGATTCCAAATCTATATAACTAAGAACCTAGTTATATAGATTTGGAATCTTTCTTTTTGGAATCTTTTTTTTATTAGTCGGCAATCAAGCTGACGGTTTACTTGATAGTAGCCAATCACCGCTGCTGGGCACTTCTGATACCAGAGAAGTTACTACAAGCGCGTTGCCACTTGTGGGTTATTAGAGATTTAAGGATAGGAATCGGGAAGGGCGAAACACCTACATGTGTGGGAGAGCCATGCTTCGGCACGAATGGGTCAGCTCGACCGAAGTGATACCACGGCCTCACAGAAAACCGGCGTGAAACAACCACAGCGTTGTGTTTCGCCGTGTGAGCGAGGCTACCGGAGGCCCAATCCTTCCCCAGTCCTGAAATCTACTAATCCCTAATCCCCAAAAGGTCGGTGACGAACTCGTAACTCCTCTGTTGTTGCGGGTGTCCATGGGCGGCACTGATAGCTTACCATCTGGTAATCCTCCTGCTCGTTTGCTGTCCTAACACACATAAAAAAACACAACGTAAGTGTTGCTCAACGCCGGTTCTCTCTGAGTCCATGGTATTTCTTTTCCATGGTGACTCCGGTCGAGCCTGCCCATTTGTGCCGAAGCATGGCTCTCCCACATTTAATCATAAATAAAATGACGAATACTTTTAAAAACATTACACCTTCATACTTTTAACATTCATAAAATATATTTATAACAATAGTTGGAACAGATAAAACTTTGTGCATAGCGGCACACGTTGGTGTTACAATACAGTTACAAATGGGAAACAATGAACTATCTGTACCTGGCTGAATATAGTTGCGGAATGTGGCTTTTAAACTCTGCGATAATGATCTGTGAAAAATTGCTTTAACAATTCGATATATGTGAAATCTAATTGTTAGTGATTCCAACTTAACGATAAGGAATAAAAAGTATTTAGCCGGGGTTGAATGGAAGAAGGAACGGGCGGCTTAGTCAGTAAGAGTCTGAAACTCCCTCTCTCCCTGGGCGAGAGAACTCATTTGATGAAGGAATAAAAGTGTAGCAGAACTCATTCAAACAATACATAGTCAAGAAATTTTAAGCGATTTCTAATCAGATGTTGGTCAAGACTAAGTAACCAAAGTGTGTAGGACTTCAGAATTGTTTGCGGTTGTTTGGTGTGGACTGACCACTTAGGGATCAAAGAACAAAGTTTATTTACACAAAACTTTTGGATTATTAATAAACAAGTCTCATGAAATCCCACCCACAGACGAAACCTACTTATTATGTAAAGGCTGACATTTATTCAAATCAGAAAGGTCAACCGTATTTCTCTTTATTTTCAATACACGAACTTGAGGAGCGAAATAAGCATTACAATTACACACCGTCTCCTAACGAAACTGACAGAAAAATAATATGGCGCAGAAATTATCTTATGGAGATGTCAACATTGCCACACATACGCTATCTTATCACAATTTGTGTACCGACAAATCTTTCACGTTGATCACGTTTGTTTTCTACCTATCAATTACATAAATGTCACGACTGCGCTCACAATTATATTATGTGCGTTTGTTCTATGTATGTGTCTGTATTCCGCCATTGTGTAAGACAAGCGAGGTGGTGACGTCTCTTTAAGGAATAAAAGCGCTTTCATGTTCAGAGCAGTGATTGTTTACAGGAAGCTATACTGTTTGCTTTTGGCTCATGTTCAGATGGACGTCAAGGCTGCAAATCAGACTATGTTTATTATGTTTAATTACTACAATGATATTTTCATGACAAACTTAGGTATTTTTAACGCAGCGGAAACTATGTACTTACTTGTTTTTATTTGACATCATTATATATTCGTGATTTAGCATTTTTTCGCTTTCGCTGATAACATTAAAGTCATATTTAAATAAGCTAGTTTCTCAAATAAAACCTTTCAATTTTTGTAACAATCAATACTTCAAAATAGGTATTGCAACGCCATCACTCAGCAAAACATTTTCTGAATGAACATATGGTCACAAGTATTCCATTCCGTAACAAAAAAAATACTCGTCTAATGTACGAGATTTACAATAAACAATAAAAAACATTATTCCTGCAACTTACATCTATTTAAAATTGTAAAGATAATTGAGAAAGTTTAACTGTTTTGAAAAAGGTATGAAAAACTTACATCAAGTATACGAAAATACATATGTAAATACTTTAATCGTATTAGAAAATTACTCAGCAGTAGCAGACTTCAACAGAATGCATTTGTATCAAAGATGATAACGCTACTGTATCCTTGACATGACGTAGAGGACACAAAACAAGACGTAGGTATGTCTAAAACGAACTAAAATATCATTTTCAGTACCTACTACAGCTTGAAAACTGTGCTTAGACATTATACTATACCGCCGCATACTCCCTTAAGGAGGGTTTTCTAGGATCTATTGTAGGAGTGAGGCATATTTATCGTAACAGATAAAAGTAACAGATATTTAAAAATACCAAGTAACAATTGTTCCTACCATTACTTTATCTGTTATTTTAATAACAGGCAAACAGCACTGTTACTGGGATTATTACTGTTATTCATTGTACCAGTCCCCACAGCCCACACACATACAGACTACTTCGTTAAATACATGTTAATATTCATTTTCTCTTTTCCTCAGTATAGAAGGATTTTGCTAAAAAGAGATACACCTATTATTTATTTCGACATACGCAATTGTTACTTATTATTTATTTGCTTTTCAACTTAAGACATTAAATTGAAATCTTTCAAAAATAACAGGATTTAATAACAGATATTTAGATCTGTTCTTTTTATGTAACAGTAACAGTGATAACAGATATCGTGTTTCACCTGTTACAACCCATCTCTTATCTATTGTTTTTTCAATTCATTTTCAGCACCGAAGCGACATCAGCCTTAATCGAAGAGACATTCAACAATAATTATGATATGGCATGTGAGGTGGTATGAAGTCCAGTGACATGCCCTCTTAAAAAGTGTTTTAAATAAATTCTTGAAGAACTCTTTTCTTTAAAACTTATATCTCCATTACTTAAATTCATATATGTTATTGTAACGTTACAAATATCGGTGTAATGTGTACTTGATATTGCTGTTGTACACTTTATTCAATAAGCTGACATAAATTCATCGTTCCAAGAAAACGAGCATTCGAATTACCTGATGGTAAGCAATCGCGCCACCATGCCCATGGACACCTCATACACCAAAGGAGTTACTAATCCGTTGCCGGCCTTTTGAGATAAGAATTCCGGAGATTTCGGTATTGGGGAGGGATGGTAAGAATTGGGGCTCCGGTAAACGTCACTCACACGATTAAACACAACGCTGTTGTTGTTTCACGCTGGTTTTCTGTGAGGCCGTGGTATCACTCCGGTCGAGCCGATCCATTCGTGCAGAAGCTTGGCTCTCACGCACTTGGTGGAAAAGTTAAAAGGTGTTTGATGTTGACTAGGGCAACTATTTCGTAAATATATGGCGGATTTTATTACATAGTTCATTGCATGTGTATTAAAAACAAGATCCTAATTAAGAATTTAGAATAAAATCACATTCTGCCTCTCCTCAAATGGACACTTTTGTCCGTCTATCTACTTAAATAATGGGAAATATTCAAAAACATTAATAACGTGCAAAAATTCCAACCGATTTATTATGATAAACAATAGTACCATATCTATTCAAGAAGTATCTAAAAATCTTCTTTACCTGTGGACAATAACGGCACATGCATAATTTACATAATACATATACTTCACATTTATTCAACAACTCTAACAACAGAAATGTATCAATTAGCATATTCTTTATGTGTCAATCGTATATAAACTCCGCGACCGAGCACATCAAACAACTTCTTCATCTGAAGAACACGAGGAACTAACCAAACTAAAAAATGGCTTTCGTTAAGAATATCTTGCTCCTGTTCGCTATCCTGGTAATATTTATCTCCTTGATTTTCTTTTAAAAAATTACTTTCATTTTAGTAATCATTATTCTTGTACTTACAGATCCCTGCGACCATCCTAGCTCAAAATGGTACAGATGTACCTCCAAGCTCGGAAGGACCTGATGGACCATCATCTGACATCCCTGACGGCGGCAGCACAGAACCACCGATGCCATCATCAGCGTCAGGACCATTCGACCACTTTTCTTTCAAGCCTCCCAAGTTCGACTGGCCTTCTCTACCTGGAATCTTCGGAGGTGGTTCCCGTCATAAGAGGGCGGCAAATGAGCCTGTGGACGCGGAACACGCTCGTCAAGACCATGCCTTCTTCCGCCGTGTCATTAGGTGCAACTTCTTGACTGAGGTAAATAATTCTTAACATCATAATATTTCTAATGCCATTTGTATATTTTTAATTGTCAGCACCATTTATCGCGATTTTTGGTGTAACTGTAGGGTCACCTATTCACAATAGAAATAATAACTTGTAAATGTATTATTATTGCAAAGTTAATCAGTTAACTTAATTTTTTTAAACCTTTTCCATTCCACATTTTCTGAATAACCGCTTTGTACCAAATAGAAATTAATACCTATAGAACGTAATCAGTATGATCTAGATGATAGCCTGATTAATTACATCACATAATAATCTATGTTATGCTATATGCTATTAGAGAACCATAATCACAACTTCAGTACATTCCTAATCATCCTATTCAAATTCTATTTCAAACTAAACTTTTGCTTCCAGGGAGGCTTCAGATGCACATCCTGCAACACAGTCCGCCGCTGCTATCCTTTCAACATCGGTACAGTCTCCACTTGCAGCGGACTGTTCCCGTACTGCAGGAATGGACAATGCTCCATGACCAAGGGAGCTCTTTGCAAGGACACTACATCGACTTCAACTTCCACCTCAACTTCTACTGATTCTACTAGCACTACTGATTCTAGTTCCTCGAGTTCTTCGTCCAGCTCTTCATCATCGAGCTCTTCTTCTTCAAGCACCTCCACCTCTACCACCCCGAGCAAATAAGCTGGAGAAGTTCCTGGTAAGATTTTTATTACCTACCCACAGAATCTAGCATCACTGACGAACAGACTAAGCGGCTGTTCTATTTTATCGTTTCTATTCTATTTTATGATTTAGTGGGAATAAATTTTCTTTTTTGACTTTGACTGCAGTCTAAAATCTATTGTTACCTCATTTGCTTATTTTTCTCTTGTTCAATTTACATTTTTCTGCGTACAGCATAAACAAGAATGTTTTAGATTATTTCCATGACGATAAATAAGTCAAAAATCTTTAAACTTGCTACATTATAATGATGTGTATTATATTTCATTGTCTAATTGTCTGTTTTACTTTACAGATATAACCGTATTTGGCAGAATAAATCAACACAGAAATGGAAATATTGGACATGTTTATCTACTGATATTGTTTAAACCTGTATATTCAATAAAATTCATTTAAATTAAATAACTTTTTCTTTACTGACCTATTGCTATTGGTATTTGTTACAGGATGTTTGTTTATGGGAAATCGTTGAAAAATCAAACAATAATATGGCACGGTTTTCTTTATTTAGGTACAATAACACATTACTAAATTCAATGAGTATCATCATTTATAATATTCGTTTTAAAAATATTGTAATTGATATCTGATATATCATAAAAAGTGAAGACAAAACCTACCAGCTACAGATATAATTTAAAAATTATTATCATATTATTATTATCGTCACACATAATTCATTTATTGTCGATTTTCCAAATTTTTCTTATCATATCCGCTGATACAATTTTAACTAATATTCCTTTACTTCACTCTAAAATATTCAAAACATTGATCCTTTCATTTTAAAGCTTAAGCTTGATAATAAATAATTATAATCTTCTAAGAAATTTCGAGAATATTATCATTTTATTTGTCAAACACAGCTAGTTAACCCTATTCAATAGTTGATTTTTTAAAATAGGTACATTTATATGGATAGGATATGACTGTTTTTTATACGATAACATTTTATGCCACAATGTTCTTTCACCTGCTCCAACTTGTCCAAAATATATTTCAAATCTATCTACCAACATCCTCTTTCAATCTTCCTTTTTTGTATGTTTTGCTATACCTAGATAGAAGAGTAGTGTATAATTTCAGTATATTATTGATATAATCATTAACACAAATCGTTAAGCTAGTATATTTAATATATTTGCGATTGACATCTTAAAAATCTACAATTAAAGTTAGGAGTACGATATATCTGTCTTAAGCTGGCCAAAGTCGTTTGTTGTAAAAATGAGATCGCTTAAAATTAACTTACCATTAAAGTCAATTAAACTAATAATCACAACATTTAACATATATGAAATACAAACAGTTAAGTATATTATATTGTTCAGAATTATTGTCTAATTTATATCATAAATCCGTGTTCCCTACGTCTTGACAACGACATGAGAAAAGAATCAAGATCAGAGTTTCATCCAGTTCCAAAAACCTAGTGATAAAATTGCCATCATTCATGAAAACCTCTTTTAGTAGAATCTAAAATACGATCAATCTATTCTTGGAATTGAATGAAAACGTGAAAGAAAAGCCGGCACACCAAATGCACCTCAAAGTTCATTCGCTAGGATAGCCTGAGCTATAGAGCGTGGCGTCGCCTAGCGGGCACTGGCATAGCTACTGATTCTTACGACGGCTTGGTAGACTGCTGTTGCGGTAGCCTTTCCTGAGCAGGATATTGTCAACAGCCGGGAGCAACAAATATCTCTTGCCAGACACATGGTATGGGACTTTAAGTGACCTGAAGTAGTAAAACTTGGGCGTCTCCTTAGTGTAAGATTGCCAGCGATTCTTGGCGAACGGTTCAACGTAGTTGGGTGGTGAGATCGGTGGTAGCGGAAGAGGACTGGAGTGCGGGAGGTCGTTGTTTAGCGGTCGGTGGAGGATCCGACCGGTCGGGTGCGAGTGAGCAGGTACTGGCGCCGCCGGTATGTCGGCGTCGTCTGAATCGACTGCTGTGTCAGCTTCGGGACTAGAGAGATATTCCCTGTGGGCAAATAAAAATAATGTCACACATTACACCTCCATGGGAAATACGGCGATAATTTCATTTGGCTTTAACCGGTCTCCTTTTAATTTCAACGAACACCGACTCCCAAAAGTTAGGTAGTTCTTATGAAGGTTTTTTATATCAGTTGAAAAATAATATATATTTACATAATAGAAACATAGATAATACAATTAGCAACAAACTACAAAATAGAATGGTTTAATGTACTACTACTGAGTAACCGACTCTGTACGGTACGCGACTAACTTCCGGCAAACTTGTAGCGACGACAACGCTAGCTTATAACTCCACGTATAACTCAAACAGTTTCACACTAACTCTGTTACCATTAAAACAATATTCTGCAGGGAAGTAGTGTTTATTCACTTAACTATTGCAATTTGATGCTGCATTACATTCAAAATTCGAAGCATAATATTTACTGGGTAACTTGAAACTAACTCACCTAATTCCGAAATTCTCGTCAGCGGAATGCTTCCTGTAAAACAAAGTTATATTAGTAACCACGTTTACCTTATTATTGTACGAGGTAGAATTAAAAATAATTTCTTACAAACATCAAATCAAATAGTATTCTAACATTTAGTCGTCAGTCAAATTTGTCTATGACATCCATTGCATGAAGACATCGTGTTAATAACACTAAACATTTAGGCATGCGACGATGTAAAGAATCACCGGTTTCTCTATAGCAGAGCCCTTACAACCTATGAGTCTGAAGCATTCTACCGCATTCTGAGCTTCACGTTTAACCAATCTGAATTCACTCTAAACATCAATAACAAGAATGCACTAGTAACATTTATCATGCCTCTATATTGTCGTTCGACTATACAATCTCCTAATATACTAAAGCACATAACGACTGCTTGTATTCTACACAACCATATTCGAATATTACGAGACCTGTATAATTCCTGGCTAGGTAACAACAACCTGGCTCGTCCTGATCTACTGTAACGTCCTCCCGAGTACCTAAACGAGGGCAATAAACCTAACCGAGCAAGAGAGCCAATATGACGTTTCTCAAAATTTTCACGTACTTCATCGTCATCATCTGGAACAGAAGTAAATAAGACAAAGCTGTTAACTCAAACTCTACTCCTGTATGAGTTATCGACAAGTTTGAGTTTGTTTGTGAAAATGGCGTGTTCATGTTCCATAAAGATTATATTATTAAGTACACAATTGAACTCACCTACGGAGCGTTTTTCTCCCTCAATATCATTTTGCTCGATCCCTTCATCTTCTTCTACAGGATCAGGGTAAGGCATCACGTAGCGCTTGGTTCTAGGACTTGGTTCAAAGTAGTTAGGTCTGTAAAGTCCATGATTGGGACTACCGGCGAAGCTCCTCTTGAAATATGAATTGTCATATTCTTTTTGATTGTAGTAGTCGTAGTATGGATCAAAAGGAGTACGTTTGAATACTTGAGACATTGATGGAAACATGTCCGGATTTACGGATTGTTGGAAATCAAACATTTCATTGGCATCTAATGGATGGTCAATTTCAGAGAGAGGAGCGATGGGATTTTGGTAGAAAGGGAAATAGTATTCTTCTTCATTCGCTTCGTCCTTCTTGTGAAGTAGACCGTTGCGTGCCAAAGCCGCAATGTTACGTTTGTCGTTAGAAGGATTGTACTGTCCTCTGCCGACACGGTAACCGTCTCTGGCAAGAGCTTGGATATTCCTCTTCATGGCTGCGTAGCTGCGAAGCCTTGCAATCGAAGCCACGTTTCGTTTTTCCTGGGACTCATCTTGATTTTGATCTTGTTTGTCAGCTTCGACATACGGCGATCTGTACGTTGGCAACAATCCATTTTTAGCTAGCGTAGAAATTCCTCTTTTATACGCTTTAGAACTAGAACTTCTCAAATAGCCGTCTCTGGCCAATGCTGCGATATTTCTTCTTGGGAATGTAGGCCATTGGCTGTCAGGATCGGCTGGCAAACTTTCCACCTAAAGGAAAAAAATATCGTAGCTTATTAATACCTAAAATGTACAACCTGTCTATTAACATATGAAATGCTAATAAAGAATTTGAATTTAATATACGCATTTAGGCGACCGTATTAAAATTGGTAACTAACTGTTTATTTTCGAATCATTCATTGAAAAATTCAAAATCGTTTATTTCAAATAGACCACAGTAGGCACTTTTGAACGTCAAGAAAAAATAAAAATTCAAGAGGTTTAACTTTATGCGTGTCAGTCTGTCCGTCTGTCCTCTAGTGAAGCTACTTTCTCGTTCCATTAAACTTACATGCTACTTTTAAAAAACACACCTGATCAATATAAGTGGAGAATGCGACAGCTAAAGTAGCACACAGGAGGAGACAGCCGCGGTGTTTCCCGCCGCTCGACCGCACGTTGTTCATCTAAGTTAAAACAAAAACATGAAATAGTTAACACAGCCTTACAATATTAAGACATTGTTCCACATTTGTGATAGAATAACCAAAGTATTTTTAAATTTTCCCCAATTTAAATTAACTTGAAAACCAAAACACTCGACCCAGAACAATTCACACAATTTAAGATTTAATTACCGGAGCTATACAAGAGCAAGCTTAAATTAATTGTTGATAACGAACAAAGCGAGATCGTAATCAAATTAGTCGCATAACTATTCAATTTGCAACTATGATTAATGGGTGACATTGAGTGAAACAAGTTACTAGTTCTGGGTAAATCCGTTAACAGTGCCAGGGACTCGAGTGAAAGGTCGTTAGGGGACAAAACTTGTATAATAGTCTGCCATCGGGATGGGTATGAAGTTGGCAGATTCAATTACGTGGAAGTCCATTTGAAGCACCTGAACTCCTTTGAAACGTGAGGTGTATGCAAATCGCGTTTTTATTTTCAATTGTACCTACGCCTACGTATGTACGTTTTCATCGTTTCACATGTCACTTGGGTAATGGTAACGAAGCTTAACATTGAAACGCTACTTTAGTATCCACATCTTTAAAATATGTTCTTAACTTTTATGATGTGTTTATAAATGTGACATGTAGAAATAAGGTGTACCGGTCAATGAAACGGAAAAAAAATAGTAAAAACAACAAAAAAAGGAAAAAATAACACAAGTGCAATCGCCGCCAGCCATAAGGGGATTAGGGTTTTGGAGATTTTGGGGTTGAGGAGGGGTTGAAGCAAAGGAAGAAGGATTAAGACTCCGGTAATCTCCGGTAAGTGAAACACAACGCCTCTGATTATATCACTCTGGTCAAGCCGACCCATTCGTGCCGAAACATGGCACTTAATTATGATAAATTATTAAAATATAGTAGTACATATGCTAGCCAAAGTCATTATGCCTTATTAATAAATACTAAGACAGTGTTAAATTACTTATTTTCCGAAAACAAAACGTTTAAACAAATAATATTCTTAACCAACAAAGTTTGGTCATCTATCTTCTGGAGTTATAAATCTAAGGGAAGTTTATCAAGAAACTTAAGTGTGCTCGCTAAACTTTTTATAAATAAAATTTATAAGTTGTAGGTACTAGACGACAAAGATAGATATTTTCTTAAAAAAAAATGGTAAACTTTTACAAGGATTGCGACTCTGGGGAAATCTAAATCTCTATATTTATACGATGATACGAGATTAGGTAAATCCACCGTAGGTATAATCATAGAGAAGATCCCATATGATCCCATTATAATGATATTATAAGAATCCCCTTGGATCTGGTGTCAACAACCTTTAATCTCTCCATATGTTTGTGATTTCCCACCGGGCATACTTTTTTGTAGTCTCTTGAGAATCGATTTTTCAAATCGAATTAAACGAAAACTGTTCGATACCTATAGGTTGAATATGTTAAGTATAAAGGTTGTTGAAGAATATTATAGTATATTACATAACAAAACCCAGTATCTAAAATCCACGACCTAAATAAAAGGACCATTTACTACAGGCAGCGGTGCACACGTATGATCAACGATACAATGAGACAAACAAGTTTTGAAAATATTCCTGACAATGTACAATTTCCTTTGCACTCAATAAACAATTGAACAAAAATACAACAGCATGCAAGCAACATCTATTTCTGAAATACCTCGTTTCAAATTATGTGAAGTGTTTGTACTTTGTAGTGACAAAAAAAAACAAAGCTTAAGAAAAGATGACGTCACGTCTATCAAAGAAAGTGACTAGATGTCGAGAACCTTTGTCACAATTGTCGGATCAGAAAACAGCCAAAAGATTTTCATTTTCTCATTAAGAATATAATCGAAAATTCTTAATTGAAACGGAAAAGTTTCGTTGTAAGGAAAAAATATTATGAAAAAGTTGTGACCAGAGAACCTTCGCTATCAATCAAATGTAATTTAATTTCGATTAAGACATTTCATTTATCGACTTTCAGCAATTCCATTAAGTACTGATAGATGATCATTATTATGACGGTTTAGCGGTTTAGATGATAAAAATTATTTTTATGACAAAATTAACATACCTAGGTACGTACTTACTTAAAAATTACCAATAGTAAAAGCCATCTAAGCTTTTCGAGGATTTAAGATAAGTTCGTTAAGTACTCGTAATTAGGTAGAAAAAAACATGTTTTGAAGTCTTTTTAATAAAAAAATTGAATTTGTCTGTATTTCTATGCATGTTAATAAATAAAACTGATTTAAGTAATTGGAATTGATATCATAATGTTTTTATGTATACCTAAATATATACCTAATTTCTTTTCACTAGAGGGTTGTAGGGTCTAAGAGAAGGTATTTTATTTGTACACAATAGAGCACAGTAAATTTATAGACGTGTGTATTGGATAAGTATACCTACTTATACTTGAAAAATAATTAGTACCTGAATTAACATTAGATATAGTAACGATACGCACGTTACTAAGTATATACCTTATTATATATATGGTTACTTAATTATATTAGTAGTTTGACGTAGATAATTAATATCGAAAAAATAGGCTGTAAGTGGCAACAAGTTAAATAGTAAACAGTTATCTAATTTCGGGAAACTATGTATATTAAAACGGTATAACTTTCATATCATAAATCTAATTATTACTGGTTCGTTACACTAACTAGTTTGGCAATATCACTGCTTAGAAATTTATTCGCGATTAATTTATTATGCTGGTTAAAGTTTAAATTGGATTTTCCAATGTGAGAACTTTATTGATGGGTTTAGTAATAAACTTTCTACATACAGTGACCCAGACACTGCGGACCTAGTTTATGAAATAGTTTTAATAAAACTGAATTTATGTAAGAACTTTCCTACATATGAAAAAATAACTTGCATCCACTTTACTCGAGTGTTTTTTGAATATCTCAAATTGTTTTTTCATTCAAACTTTGTCTTGTAAAGAAAGAAATAAAAGTCCAACTTGGAGCAATAGTTTGAAAGTCATACGCGTATACATTATTTATTTTTAATTAGATTTTAATCGAAAATTTTCTCCTAAAATATATATTTAGTTTAATCTACTTTTATGGTGTAAAATGGTTAGCTATACTTAGGACCTTGTTTAGTTTAGTTTAACTAAAAACGCAAAATTTATAAGTAGTTTGTTTTTTATTCGTAAAAAATATGTGAAACAAAACCATGTTGAAAATTGTTTTACGTGTTTTTTAAGCAAAAAATCAACGAGTTCTTTTTTCAGCAAAGGAATCTTCGAAATTTTTCTTGCTAAATGGACCTCATTAATTTTTGTATAATTTAACTTTAAAAACTATTTAACAAACTTTTGAAGTAACCATAACTGACGAAAATTCACTTCTAAGAGAGTGAAAACTTGATGAGAACACAGATTTTCAACTACTTACCTTTGCAGAGCCCCGTGCAGGGACAGCACACTTTTTTCAAACTTTAGACCGACTTCGAACTTGGTACAGCTCTCGAATTTTGTTACTTAGTTGTGGGTTCTTGGCGGGAATGGTTGTAGGACGGCACTTACCGTGCTTTTATAGAAAACTACATGGGACTCGCGCATGCGTGTTACATGAGGGAGGAGCTTCAACACTGTATTCTACATGCACTTTAATTAATAAGCTTTAAGGTCACGCGGTTTTGATGTAATTATGAGCGCATTTTGCGAATATCGTATTAGGTATATGGGAACTATTTAAACTAAAGAGGACCTAATGGAAAACAGGTTAATGTCTTTGTCATAATAACATTTAACAACATTTTAGGTTGTTTTCGAAATCTAGATGAAAGTTTCTGAATGTTGTAGTTCGCCTCCAGTTATCATCAGAACCGCTAAAAAGTGAAATTCTTTGCCACCAGGTGAGGTTGTGGCGAAAAGCCAGCCCATTATAATTAATAAAAAAGAGCACAATACTTGATATGTAAATAAAACGCAGCTTTTAAAGAAGCAAAGGTTTATAATTATAAGATCGTGGTTAACCTTTCATTACAATTTTATTTAGGTAACATTACAATCACATTTGTACTTTATGTTTTTAAATCAAATTAGTTCTGCGCATAGAAAACAGAAAAATATTAACTTTAAACCGTTACTGTTTGCAAAACCGGAGGAGTTACGTGTGCGTTGCCGGCCTTTTGGGGATAAAGATTTCGGAGGTCTAGGGATTGGGGAGACATTGAAGGGGAAGAGAGATTGGGCCTCCGGTAAGCAAACTCACAGAAACACAATGCTGTAGTTATTTCACACCGAATTCTGAGAGGCCGTGGTAGCACTCCAGTCGCGCCGACCCACCTTGCCGAAGCATGGCTCTCCCACACTTATATTAGTGAAAATTCAAATTATTCTTCAATTATCTATTTGTGGAAATTTCGAAGGTTCAACAATTCCCACCCCATTCTAGTCCAGACTTTTGGCAGCCCTACCTATGGTTAGACTATATGAACAAGAATAATGAAACAATGAAACAATGAATTTATTTTTGCAAATAGGCCATAAAACGGCACTTTTACACGTCAATTTATATGTAAAAAACTAGATGAAGCAGAATAAGACCAGAGATCCCGTTTTAATTAAAAACACCCAATGATAAGTTAAAGAGGTTTAATATCACCCGTCAACCAAAGTTAAGTAATGTTTGCAGTGCAGTTAAAAAAGACCCTTGTCAAATTTTACGATATTTAATTACAAACATTCGTTTGCTTTGGCGGTGGCCCCAAACAGGACCTAATTAAAAAGTTTGTTTTAAGAAGATACAAACAAGGTAAGATACACTAAGTATATTACGAGTAGTAGCCTGTCTACCAAAAAAAAAAGAAAGGAAGTATTACCCTTTTCTGACCTCAATAAAACATAGGCAAGAAAAACCTACCAACCTCTCAAGAAAATCTAACCAGACACGCTAAAAATAGACCTCATTGAAATGGTTCTTGGTGCCCGGATTAACTACGTGAAAAGCTTTTC